GAAACTGTGCGGAAAATGTGCGGAAAATGTGCGGAAACTGTGCGGAAAATCTGCGGAAAATGTGCGGAAACTTGGCCCCACCAACTTAATGTAGTTGGGCCCAGCACTCTTCTCTTTATGCACATCCATTTTTTCATATAGTTCCACAAGTGTTTTCACATAAGTTTCCACAATCTGAGCTGGTGTTTTCCATTGTTTTCCAATGCTTTTTCCACATGACTCTACAGGTGTGTTCACATTAGTTTCCACAATCTGGGCTGGTTCTTGTCCAATGTTTTCCACATGACTCCACATGTGATTCCACAAAAGTTTCCACAATCTGGGCCGGTGTTTTCCACATGACTCCACACGTGTTTCCACAGAAGTTTCCACAAGTTGAGCTGGAGCTGAGCCGGTACTTTCCAATGTTTCCACATGGGAGGGACGACTCAGCTTATAGGGCAGCGCAACATTTACCATACCGTCTTCGACGAACATCGGTTGATGTTTCCACTTATAGGGACCATTATAGGGACCTATCATATCAGTTATCAGTGTTGCAGCTGCTTTGCAGGCAGTTTCTGGTTTCAGCTGCATTGGTGGAGGACAGGCTATTCGGATGGCTTGTCACAGATCAAGTAATCATGCAATTTTACAATTTTATGTCAGTGTTTTAATTTGTCCTTGGAGACGCCGCATTGATTTTCATGGGCATGAATCATGAAATTTGATTGTTTCCAATCTTTCGCTGCGCCAAGAGTCGGACATGATAGGTCACTAATGTGACTTGCTTGCACAAGAAACTATTGTTGGTTGACTCTTTGCAGGGCTCAACGTGGAGCTTAAACAGGCTCCTAGCCTATAGGCTACCCCTGCAATGCCGCCTAAACGGACTCTTAAGAGACCTGCTGCTGCGACTGCAATTGATGCTGTTGTGAAGAAAGAACCTGTTGGGCCAGTTGTGAAGAAAGAGCCTGGGGCCACATCTACGTCTACACAGTCTGTCTCTGGCTTGGGTTATGTCACGAAAGAAGAGCCTCCTGACTCTGAGCCCGGGGACAAGGAGCTAAATTTTTTGATGTCAAGCATTTCTGGAACACACATTGAGGGGATGTCTTGACATGGTGGGTGCTTTATTGGTTTAGATGGACGAGACCACGGAGAAACAAACGCACACCGGCAAATGACACGAACATATGACAATATAACTTAACATAAACTAACACAATATTATTTTATTGTATGTGCTGTGCGTTTGACTCCAGACTGCGGGCACCACGGTTAGCCACTGCCATTCCAGGAGAGCCCTTCAGATGACGGTGGTGATGACGGTGGTGCAGCAGCCAGTGGTGACACTACTGGTGGGGCGAGCCGCAGTGGTGATCGGGACAGTGTCCTTCCTGACCCGAAATTGAATTTGCCTATGTCCGAGGATGCGGATTTGGTTCGAGTGAAAGCATACCGACCGAAGTGTTCCAATTCTTCCAGTTCTTTCAGTGAAGCTGACCTCTATGCGAAACCCAAGACTTCCTTTGTTGTGAACGGGGCATCCCAAATGGAGGACTTCATAGTCCAGGCTCTTCAGCGCTTGGATGATGGCAGTAGGGCAGATCTCCTGCAACTACCTTTAGAGGACATCGTAGTTGGAACTGCTTGCAGCGGGACAGATGTTGCTGTTTTGGTCGCCAAAGCCTTTGCAAAGGCTTGGCAACGAGTCTTTCACGCCAGATTGGATGTGATACACGCCTTTTCGTGCGAGAAAGATGAGATGAAGCAGCGTTTCCTGACGACCATGTTCACTGACACATTTGACTTCAGTGAAATGCAAATGCTCCTGGGGGACACTTCAGAATTGACCAAGAAATGTGACCCTGATGAGGACGCTGTCTATGACCTGCTGCATGGCACACATCGAACAGGTCTTCCAGTTGTTACTGATTTGATGGTTGGCTTTCCTTGCCAGGATGTGAGTAAGCTCAATCCAGCAGCGGATGATGCTCGGTGGGTAGTGCGGGATGCCGGTCGCCGCACCGGTAAAGTCTTTGAAGATATTGCAGACTACTGCAATACCCTCATGGAGGATAAGAAGGGCAAGAAAATCTTTACCGGGTTGCTCCTCGAAAATGTGATGGGTCTCACAATTCCACCCAAGGGTGTCAACGCAGATGGTGAAGCATGGCACTCCAACTTGGACTACTGTGAATTGGCAATGCGAAAGGCTGGGATCTTCCTGTTGGCATTCATCCTGGACCCGCGGATGTTTGGCATACCAGTTTCTCGCCATAGAGTTTGGATGATTGGTTTGCCAGCTTGGATGCTGGAGGAAGCCGGGCTTGAGGAGGACACAGTGACAAACATGGCCCACGATCTTGTGGATCGACTTTGTGATTGTTCGGAGGCTCCTTGCAGAGACCTCCGAGATTTCCTCCTACCTCTTGATCACCCTGTAGTCCAAAGACAAGTTCAACTTGCACGAGGGAAAAGTGAGAAGAGATCGGCCCGAACAACGAGACCTGTGGCAAAGGCGCCCAAGTGGGCAGAGCAGCACTGCAGGGCATTCGAGAAGTCTGGCCGTGATTGGTGGGAGCCATCCTTCCCGGCTGAATCTGTATTCTGTGAATTTCCGGGTCTCCATGCCCTCACAGAAAGGCAGTTTGACCTTTTGGCTGTCTTGAACGTGAAGTTCCCAGACACACGTATTGCGACAGTAGAGCTGTCCCAAAACCTTAGGTCCGGCAAAGAGCGAGAGATCAAGAACAACCACGCGGACATTGTCACGCCCAACGGCCAGCAGCTTGTCCTTCACCAGTGCCGTTGCCTGACTGGTTTGGAGACCCTTTTCCTGCAAGGTATCCACTTTGGACCAAGTTTGCAGGACAGAGTGGAACAAATGGATGATTCGCTCCTCAGATCATTGGGAGGTAATGCCTTCCAAGGGCATTGCTGTGCCATTATGTTTGTTGTCAAGCAAGCATTACTGGCACGGCTTCGGTCCGCAATCATGGTGCGGAAGAAACAATGCCAACTTTCAGAGCCTCACGCAAAAAGGTTGCGAACAGTAGATGACTTTTGTGAATGGCCTGCGTGACATGCCGCCTGTGTGTGGCAGCGATTCTAGTCGGTGCGTTGGAGCTTTGAGTGATTTCAACTCCACTCAACTCCACTCTAGGAATTCAATGTGGCCGATGTTGAATGGCAGTGTATAAATTCAGTGCAGTAGTCTCAGCCCCTGGCTACTTAGCCTCCATGAGCAAAACACACCGAGGCCAAGCGGAGGAAAAGAACAATCAATGCCCAATGCTGCTTAACAATCCGTGTTTTGTGTGGCAGCTTGTTTTGATGTTGTTGTGTCCTGTCAGTTAGTAACCAATGCCAATGTAGCAAGATGTTGAAAGAGCAATGCAGCAACAGCAAAGGGGGTTGTTTAATTTGTTGCCGGCGTGTTTTTTGAGCTTCATTTGCGCGAGTCCATTTTGCTGCACTGTGTGGGACTGAATCATGGCGTCTGAGTCGGCTTTGTCCTTGCCTTCGCATGCCTCGCAAAGCTCCAAGTGGGGAAGCACAGGCTTCAAAGGATGCCGTTACTGCCGCCGTGACAGATCTTTTCCAAACCCAGTTGTTGAGGCACGGCCAGAGAAGCCGCATCTCCAGTTCAAGTCAGACAGGCATGCGGAATGCTGGCTTTGCACAGGCAAG